GCATGGCCATTGACAAAACGTGTCGGTTGACACCTTGGCCGACTGCTGCATCCCCTTGAAAAGACGACCTCATTTAGAAAAGTACAACCAACAAGATGATATTCAACATACACTTACTACGAGACAACATGAATATTGTGCTATCATCCTTCAAGCTTTCAATACAAGAAATGTAACTAGTTATTTCTTCCCTGGTCTAAGGGACAACTTAATCCTCAACATGCAAGTAAAAACAAACAAAAAGGCAAAATTCGACCCTGATGACTACCTATAATGAAACATGAGAAGTTACACTATTTATTAATACCTCTCAGCCTGCACTTGAATGGAGCTGCCCAGTTAACATTGTTCATTTTAAAGAATGAAATCAATGAACTGTCCGTTTCTTGTTCTGCAGTAAACATGTCGATTGATAGAAAGAGGCGTGGACATTCAGAGTTACGTTCCAGCAGTTCCTCTCTGAACAACTGACATGCCTTTCGGGGGTCCACTTCATTGGCCCATGCTGAAAACGTAATTTGAAGGGAAAAAAAAGTGGTTGGTTCAATAAACTTCATAATATGTCAGCTGCAATTCTAAAATAGTACATTTAGTCTCATTTAGTAAGCCCTGTATTTTAAAGCAATATATTAAAAGGTAGTAACTTGAAATCAATTATCCTTTCCATATTACTGGATCAAACATGTAACAACATTAATTTTGGTGATCATTGCTATTTAAGTGTTTGTGAGTAGTAGTGGTCCTCGCTTTTTTTATGTCTCTCCAACGAGTTACGCAGGTGCTTCCAGTCTACATATCCATCCCTCGTAAATGCACCTTCAGCTCCTGGGCTGGGGAAATGTCTGCACATTTTACAGAAAAGTGCGTCCCTACTTGCGCTGTATTCCACGCAGGGAAAATCTGTATGCCACCTCGATGAGAAGCACCTTGCTTTTCCATGATTAACAGTGTAGGGGAACTTCTTCAGTTTTGGCTGTGAAGGCGGTTCATCAAGTGCAGACAGATCAGCGGGTAGGCCTACACCTGCTTCATGCTGACGACGGGGAGCGGGAGGGAGCACTGCTAGCGCCGTGGAGCAAGCGGCCGTAACAGTATAGTCTCCGGAGTCGGAGATTCTGGCCCTGGATCGCTGCTAGATGAGAGCATAATTTGAAGGCAGCTCTCTCACGTTACTAATTGGGAACCAACAACCAGTTTTTTACCGGAAATTAGTTCCGTTCAGAGGATAAAACACATACAACATTAATTCTACTAGATATTTGTTCACTTACATTTCACTTTGAATGCTTGGATATTCTATTCAATGGGTGAATAAAAAAATGTATAATAATAATAAAAAAAAAAACACCAAAGCTTTCTCAGAGCGGGCCAATTAGTAAACTGGGCGGGCCCTGGCCCTGCCTCTGACCTGTCAGCTCCGGACAGCGCAAAATGCGTAAATGAAGCGCTACGTCACGAACACAAGAAATCATACCCTCGTGGGGGCGCGCTCATGTGATTGGCTTAGACTGGAGGAGACATCTGATTGGCTATAGATAAAATAAATTACAAGTACGAATCGGGTGACCGTCAGGGGAGTCTCAAAAAACCCACACATGAATGCACAGTGATCCATGCACAGAAAGCGGGTTGTGTTTGCAGGTGCAGAGGTTTTCAACGGAAAATAAATATGTGTGGATCAAAAATACATATGTACATTTATTTTCTGTATTTGGATTTTATTTCCATGAATATGAAACGGAACACATTTGTGTGTGCATTGAAAAACACAAGTGTGGATCCGGAAATACAAGTGTGAATCCTTTTGCGGATCATGAAATACAAGTGTCCTTCTGTGTGCATGTGTGTATTATGAGACTGTTCTGGACCCATATGTAACTCCTTCGTACTTGGCAGAAGAATGAACAAAAAGGCATCATGAGCCAGAGATATGTGTGCCTCGTTCAACGAAATTCTACTGTTCGTGCCAGTACTTGTCTTGCTTAAAATTCTGAGAAGGAAGGAGAATACTAAAATCATTACCTCCATTATTATCCAATTCTACCAATAGCTTTTACTCAATATTTCAACACTTTTGTGATTGCAAGAGTGTGCTTTCAATAGGAAATGTTTCTGATCCAGGGCTCTGAATCTGATCCTCGTCTCAGATTTGTTATAAACCTAAAACTATGACAGCGAGGATTTGTTCTCTGCTTCAATGTCTCCGTCTGGTGCTTCACTTCACTGTCTTACACTCACACACACAAATATGAGCATACAGAACACACACACAGCTTGTTGGATTTAACAGCTTTTTACAAACTGGTACCTGGAGCTTCACACTCGAATACGTTTGACTTGAGTTAATTGTGTTTTTGTCTCAGAGTGTCTAATGGCGCATTTCCACCACACGGTCGGCCTCGGCCACGCTCGGTACGGCTTGGCCGCGTTGGGCCTTAACAGGGCCGACTCACTTCATGCTGCGCTTCCATTACAGTTTAGGAACTGGGGTAGTTACTATAGTAACGCAGTGTAGGCGGAGCGACGATGCATACAACTGCCGTGACGTCATCTTCAATGCGACACAACTCACGAAACACGCAACAATGGAGGATGTGGATACCATCGTTTCCTTGTTTCTGTGTCTGTGGTGTTTTATCACAGCAAGAAGGAACACTTTGTTTCGGAAAAGGCGGCTTATAGCAAGACGTAATAGAGAAGCAGCTCATGGGAGACTTATGGCAATCGTAGAAAGCGGCAGAGACTACTCCAGCACGACTCAACGCTACTCGGTAAGCTAACGTTCGCTAACTAGCGATGTGTTTCACGCTCACTATACGACCAAAGTGTTTCAAGTATTTAATTAATTGTAGCTACCACTTTTACGTATTAAAATATGTATGCTTTTGTTTGTGTATTTCAGAAGTTAGGTCGCCGCCGCAGACCATGTGTTTGGATGCTCGACCGAGCTACCGAGTGGTGGGGTGTGATTGTTCCATCTGTCACAGACACTCAGTGGGTGGATAACTTTAGGATGTCTGAGGAAACATACACCTACCTGTGCAACAAACTGCGGCCAGCGATGGAGAGACAGGACACAGCATTCCGCAAGTGTATACCTCTAAAGAAGAGGGTGGCTATCGCACTGTGGAAGCTTGCGACCGGCTCAGAGTACAGAAGCATTGGACATCTTTTCGGAGTGAGCAACACAACTGTGTGCCGGTGTGTGCAAGACTTCTGTGCTGCTTCAGAGACGTTGTTAGTACCGGAACTAATTCGTTCACCAGACGGGGAGAAGTTTGCAGAAATGGCCGACTACAATGAGAAGAGGTGGGGGCTCCCACAGTGTGTAGGTGCTATTGATGGATCACACATACCCATCTTGGCACCACAGGAATACCACTGTGACTATTTCAACCGGAAAGGCTGGCACTCCATCATCCTTCAAGGAGTTGTAGATGGAAAGGGACATTTCTGGAATGTGTTTGCAGGAATGTCTGGGAGCATGCATGATGCTCGGGTTTTGAGGCTGTCCTCATTGTGGAAGTTGGCCAGTCGTGGCAACTACTTTCCACCTTGCACCAGGAACATTGGTGGGGTGAATGCTGGCTATTACATCCTGGGAGACAATGCCTATCCCTTGCAAAACTGGCTCATGAAAACGTTCCCTGACAATAGACAGCTGACAGCAGAACATGTGATCTACAACAAGAACATTTGCAGAGCACGGGTAGTGGTCGAAAACGCTTTTGGTAGACTGAAGGGAAGGTGGCGTTGCCTCATGAAAAGAAATGACTGTGATGTGAAACTTGTGAAATCTATGGTGCTGACATGCTGTGCTCTGCATAACCTCTGCGAGAGTCATGAAGAGGCCTATGATGATGAATGGGATGCACCAGCAGCAGCAGCAGCAGAGCCTGGGGTAGCAGTGGCACAAGGTGCAGAGGAGGGGGGCACTGACATAAGAGAGGGTTTGATGCGCTACCTGAATAGTAATTGAAAGATTGTGGGCCATTTAAGGGTAGTGACATTTTGTTTTGTGTTTATTATTACTACATTGTGTTGAACATAAATAAATCTTTTTTTGTCTTTCACATACATGTGTTTTTCAAATGATTTAAACCAAAAAATGTTATCAGAATTGACTATTTAGTAAATATTTGAATTTCAAGTACCAGTAAGTACTGCCCCATAATAAGAACATTTGAGCAAATATCAGATCCTGAAAAGAAAATCTCTAATAAATTAAGCAAATATCCAAGTAAACTATAAACATAAATACAAATTATCTCTTATCCTCCTCTTTCTGTTTTTTTTTCAAAATACCCCCTTCCAGTTTATTTATAAAAGGTAGTCTTTGACTTTAAGTAATGATGTGTCAGTTACCAAACAATGTTTTAGAGGAGGACCTCAAGCTAGCAAACTATTTCTTGCTTTAAATCTATTCTTAAAATTCACTTTTTATCTTATGGGCTTTTTCCTAACTGGTGTTTCTTATTGCTTTATAAATTCATGTACAATGTTAGATCCACATAAATGTTATTAGTAGCCTATTTTTATTATTATTTAGAACAAATATAGGCCTATAACTTCTGCCTCAAAATTATGTGAATCTGAATTTGTTTTAAACGTTGGACTAGGACACAATTCTCAGTGTTTTTGTTCTGCTGATTTAAAGCCCTTTAATGAAACGTGTACATTTCATTTCAGTTTATGATTGGATTACAAAACTGTGTGTTTGTGTGCGAGTGGCAACCCAGTGACTTTGTTTACATGCTCACGAAAATCAGTTTGTTAATCAGATTATGGCAGGAAATCAGATGATGCATTTATCAACAAGAGATAAGATGAGAAGTACTTTATTGAATCCCAATTTGGGAAGTGTTTTAGTTGCAGCATAAAAAAGCCATGGCATTGTACAAAAAAAACAAAAACAAATATTTGTTGCAGCAGCATAAAAAGGCATGGCATTATAAAAACAAAAAAGAAAGATAAGACATAAACAAGAAACTACTGTACTAATGTGGCAATTACAGAGGTGGTTCGTCTTCCTGAAGAGACGGGCCACGTCGGCTGTCCACAACCTGGCCAAGAGTGCGCAGGAAGGCTAAGTTAAATGCCTGAGTTTGAGCGTTCTCCTCCCTTCTCAAGGCCATTTCCTCCTGCATTGCCCGGGCAGTAGCCTCCATGGTCAGCTGCCAGTGCCGATCCACCTGGGCCAGGTTCCGTTCCACCTGGTCCAGGTTCCGTACATGGTGCCGTTCCTCCTGTGCTAGGTGCTCGTCTCCTCCTCGTTTCCTCTTGCCTGTATGATGATAAGATAATTATAGCAATAAGAATTAGCAATAAGAATGAAAAACACAGGACAGGTACAGGTCACACAAGGATATAAGAATAAAATGTATAAGCAGAACTACAGTAAGGATGAACTAAAGACAGTTATGCCCTAGATGTTTACAATGATTGTGAAAGTGAATTACATTATGTCCAGCCTGTTGATAATGAATATAAATATATGTATATAATAGGATGTCACACACAATTGTACTAGCTGCTTACTAGCTAGTTACTTACTTACTTGTAACAGAGCACTTCCACACAGTGGTATAGCTTATTTTACTTACTGACGATGGATGATCTAAAGTTTAAAAAAAGTCACAATTGCAGTCGTTTTGCCATGCCTATTTCTTACCTAGAACCACACGCTGCGGTGTCGTGATGGCACTCGGCGTTGGTGGTTGAGTTGGTGTCGGTTGTTCGGCTGGGGCTGGTGTCTGTGGTCGAGTTGGGGTCCCTTCTGGATTCGATGACGAGGACGGATCACCCATTGTTCGGGACTGTTCCTCCTCACTAGTTTCATCTATGGCATCATCTAGAACAGCAACATGACTTGTTAATTCCACAAACTACTGCAGCACAATACTAAATAGCAACAACAACAACTGTAGAAAAGAAAAACTGAACGTAAACAATGGCACATGTGGTGGTAGCAAACAATAGCTCTAGCTAATGCTATCTGCCTTAGCTAGCTATGTAGCTCTTCGGGGATCCATACAAGCATGGGTTGTAGAACTTAAATGTAAGGATAAAATAGACTTGTTTGTTAGAAGTGAGCTTTATAATAGATAGGGACACAACGCTTTCAAGCAAATAACAGAGCGTTAGCAAAGACTTACCATGCAGGGACAACAGCAACGCGGTTGCAGAGTCCAGGCCTCCCTCCCTCCCAACGCTGGCCGGTCTACGGCCATAAATATCGTTCATCAGGTCGAACCACTTCCAGCTTCTCCTATCTGAACCACTCCGGCCGTTGTGGTCCTTGACGGCTCGATACTCACTCTTAAGCTTTTTCAGTTTGTCCCTACACTGCTGGAAAGTCCTTGCATATCCGCGTACGGACAACAGTGCAGAGACCTCCTGAAAAACTTTGAGGTTGCGAGTTGTGCCGTCGAGCTCCCGCTGGATTTTGTCATCTGCTATCAGATGGAGGAACGTCGTAACCTCGTCAATCGACCACGGTGTGCTTTTCTTTGCCATTTCTAGCTTCTCTGTTTTCAAAAATGCTGCAAGCGTCACAATATATGCGACGCTAGGGATGATCAACTCGCGCGAGAATTGTGACGATTCTCTCTGACCAATCAGCAGTCCGCCCAGTTGTTGGCCCGCTAGTGTGGCCTCGATAGAACCACAATTTTGTCGGGCCAGAAAAGAGGTGAAAAAGTGGCCCCGGGCCGGGCCGGGCCGGGCCGGAACTAGGCCTAGTGGAAGCGCAACCAAAAACGGGCACGGCACGACACGGCACGCTTAAACCGCGCTCCGCGCCATGGTGGAAATGCACCATTAGTGTGCGTACCACGGTGTGTGTCTGAGTCAGGAGGATAACGACAAAGCTGTACTATCCCTTGTGAGCTGGACATACCTGCCTTATTTACATTGCTCAGTCTTTTCCTCAATTCTCACCTTGGATGTAAATTAGGAGAGCGGTTCAAGCCAGGTACCGTACCGGCCTACTGCTCATTCAGACAGCTGGAGGATAGAGTCTGAGGAAATCCTCACAACACATTTATTATTAAAATGAATGTTTACATCTATATGAATCGCATATCAAACCATGGGATACTGCAGTTTTTGCTGGGTGTAAGCAGGTAAAGTGCTATTTTCACAAGTGCGGACCTAACATCTTGTAGGGGGTTCAAGATGCTCCCCCGGGAAAATCTTTGTTTAAATATTGAAGTTAAATGCATCAATCTGGTGCACTTTGAGAGCAAAATTAAGAGAACGGATACATCTCTCAACACCCATATGAAACAGAACTGTTAACAGATTTACTTTTTCTTTATGGATATTTTACAAATCACTCCCTTTTTAAACTGTATTCTTGTTTTACTGTCATATGGTATTTCATAACATTTATTCTCTTATTCAACTCCTTCCTCTGCTCAAAAGTCAGGCCTGCATCACGGCAGCCAGACACATCAACACTGTCCCTTATAGGGTCCACATTTTACTTTCAAACAGCCCCAAATCCATCAGATTTGCTTTAACAATGCCTTTGATATTTTCCTTCATCCTTTTATCACCCACCTCCAAGGTAAAATGTTCGGCAATATCGACCAACTGCTCACGTGAAAGGCCCTCTAGAAGCTCCTCCGAAGGTGCTCTCAAAAACTCCTCCACACTATTCCTCAGGACCACACTAACTTCCCTACACAGTGAAACTATTACGCGACAACACACTGCACGGCGCGCTACTTACACAGTCTTGACGCCACAGCGGCCCGTCCCTCTATCTGCCTCACAGGAAACTAGCTAAACTCCCCCCTCGTCTTCAGGTGTTAATTGTGGCGGGTATTTACGCACTAAAACCCACAAGCCCGGCGAGGCACCCAGCATCTGGCCACTCCACCCGCAGCTTTGGACGTGCTCCCGAGCTAATAGCTCCAACCACGTTCGCGCCACACTAAGCCCCCCTTACGACCTCCCAAAGGGAGACCGTACTGCAACCTACCAGGGACAGAAACCAACAGTAACTAAAGTGACTGTGCTTGTACTCGCTGCCATAAATAAATTCCCTGTGCATTAGCTTTACATTACATTACATTGCATGGCGACAAAACAAAACAACTGCTTCACCTATCATACCGAAACTGCAAAGCACTTACCCTCGTCCCGCTACTCCCAAACAATCAGCCGCACTATGCAACAACAGCTGTGCGTCTATAGTCCGTCCCCAACAACAGACATTTATTCAAAAAACGTTTTTCCAGGTTCAAAGCAACGAGCCCCTATATGTTACGGCCCGGCTCTGGGGCTATAACATAAACCGGAGAGTCGAGACGAGGTTTGACAATATAACAATCGTTTATTGATAATAAACAAATAAATGAACGAAGCCAGCAACAGGTCCCCCGAGGCTGGCACGGAGAGAGTGCCCAGAGGAGTAAGAGCGAGAGACACAAATCCGGTTGGGCTCTCCTCTTGTAGGCTTCTAGCAGGTGCAGCTCGTCAGACAGGTGCAGCTCATCAGACACTGGATCCTGCAATCACACACACACAGCCAACGGCACCCCTCACACAATATTGTGGCATATACTTCTGCCAGGGGATGCCACCCCTCAAATTCTCCTGCCACCCTCTTGCCACCCCATGAATATTTTTCTAGATCCGCCCCTGCATATGACCAATAAAAGCCTTGAACCTTGAGCCTTGAAAACATACTTAAAGGGTAAAAGGTAAAAATACTTGTTCTTCACAACAGCCCAAGTTTTTTTCTTTTCTTTTTTATTATTAATATATTGCGAGGTAGATTTTCAATTTGACCAAGGAACCAAAACGTTTATTTTAACTCATAATTTTACACAATACAGTATTTGTTGATTATATTTTGTTTATCATTGTTTATATTTCGTATGTATTTATTCATTTCTTTTTTATTCCTTTAAAAAGAAAAAATCTACTTTGGATAATCTTAATATGTAGTATTCAACCCCACATTCACTCAATAAAAATTAAATGATACAATAAAAAATAATTGTAGTTGAGTTAAAGGGCCCATGTCATGGCCATTTCCACTGATCATAATTACATTGTTGAGGTATACTAAAATAGATTTATACTGTGCAATTTTCCAAACTCACATTGGTTTCGCATACAGCATCTCTGTCAAGCATGTGTATTCAGCAGTATTCACTTTCTCCACTAAACGACTCGTTGGAGCTCTTGCCCCCCCCTCCCTGTGAGCCTAGTGTGCTCCGATTGGTCAGCTCGGCCACTCGTTCTGATTAGTCAACCACCAGAGAGGCTGCGCCCATGTCAGTGCTTTTCCCGGCTGCTCTCAGCGTAACATCAGTCTTATCATGGCGTCGGTACAGCGGTATATTTTATATACATATATATTTTTAACTGTTGTTATAGAAGAGTGTGACGGCCCCAGGGCCTTTGTCTTACGATGGGGTGGAGCTGAAGAGGCTAATCAGCACGATCACGGACACCTCCGGACACAGTCTCTCTCCAAAGCGGCTGCAGGAAGACTAACTCTGCGATCCTCTCAACCACCTATCTTTGCATTTACCACAATAAATGTGCCGTGGTTTTGTAAACTCGTGTATGTCTCCTTGTCTTTCCGTTGTGGCCTACGAGCTACTCTCATAACAAAGAGTAAGTTATTTTTACCCGTTATAAACTACTACTGTTTGATGAGAAATCAAATCATGGTTTGCTATATATGAATTCAGGGAAGAAAGGATAGGCCTACTAAGTATTTCCATTAAACTTTATTTTTAGAAATGTACAAAATGAACATAAATATACATATATACACACGGTATATCATTCATTCCTCCTCCTCGCATCTTGCCTGCGCACAGTCGGTGCGGTGCCTTTTAGCACCCTCAGTAGTAGTAGAATCCCTTCCCCGTCATGGATTGTCCGCCAGGATCTGGCTGGACGAAATCAAATGCAAATCACAAAATATTAGAGAAACTTAGTTGTTTTAGATTAGTTAGTAGTAGTTGTGTAATGAATAGCTTGCCTGCTAATATGCTAACCTAGCTTTGTTTACCTTGGTAGCTAACACGATATGAACGTTAGCTTGGAGGAAAGGCAACTATAATGCAGTGTAATAAAACTACTATGAACAAAAGCTAGTGGTTCATATTAGGCTAGCAATAACGTGTTTATAATTGCAATCGTATACGGGTATTCTGCTACCATACAATGTAACTTGCATGAATACATTGTTTTGCGCTAGCATACAGCTAGCCTCGTTAGCTACATGCAGTATATGTACGGTCACAATGTACGGTAAATCACAGTACAGTATACTGTATGAGTATTCCGTGTGTGTGACTGCAGACATTCTCCTGCCATGACAAACATGTAAGGCCATCTGCTGACATTGTAGTTGATATATTTAAACGCTAGCAACGTAGCATCACAAAAATGTTTTTCTGACCGAAACTAGCTCTAGCTCCGTGTGTTAGATCGCTACGCCAGCTATAATGTAATTACGTTTCGCGACTGACCAGCAAATCACCCGGAGTATACTGTCAATAGGTATTTTGTGTGTGAATGCAGACATTCTCCTGCTATGAGATACATGTATGCAAGGCCATCTGCTGATATTAGAGTTGATATATGGAAACTCTAGCAACTTAGTTAGCACTGTGTCAATGGCTTAGCAGTCCAACACAGTTTACACATTTAAACAGTCTTGTTTGATAAATACACAAATAACAATGCAAACTTACAGGTTGTATACCCAGATCTTCCCCTGCTCCAAACGGTCCAAACAAGCTGTGCATATCCGGCCTCAAACTGGGCAATGTTTTGGAAGCTTTCGTCTGTGAAATGCCGGTTCTTCGAACCTCTGGAGGAGGAACACGCCGCTGCTGGTGTGGCCATAGCTCTTCGGGATTGGTCCATTTCGTTCCGGGTACCGCATGACATCATGCGGTACCCGGAAGAATCAAATGGGCAGTGACGTATCTCCAACGAGGCGTTTTGGGGAGGTATTTTCTGTGTTAGAGTTTTACTCGCTACAGGGTGTACTTTGAGGGTTTTGACTCTGCACACCGTTTACATGCATAAAAACCTTCATAACACACAAGGGGACGGGTAATAACCGGAAAAGCATGACATGGGAGCTTTAAAGGATAAAGTAGCAGGACATTTAAACAAAAAAGTACATTTCCTGAATGAATTTACTTAGTAACTGTCTAACACTGGTTGGTTTGATGTACTATTTACACTATATATGTTATTTGTGTGTCTTGCCCAAGGATACTTTGGCATGTTGTCACGAGGTGGGACGAAACTGCAACATTTAATTAGAAATTGGCATAAATCATTGCAAAGACAAGTTTATTTGTAAAGCATAAATACTATTTAAAGTGCTTATCCTGATGCTTTAAACATATTAAATACAAGTTTAAAGAAAGAAAAGCAGATGCATAAGTACAGGATTTAGATGTAGAGGCAATTGAGTTCAAAGACAATTAGAAAGGACGCTTTAGAACCTTCCTTGACAGCTAATTATT